AATTCTCTCCTCCTGAAATATGCAAATGTTGGAGATGGGAGCTGCTGCTAAAGGCTAAAATCTTTCCTTGATTGTACTGACCAACAGCTTTGGGCTAAAGTTCAGTTGTTCCTAGGATGGAAATGCAGGGACGTGCCAGAGGCCGCGCTCAAAGTCAGCAGTCAGACTGCGAGAATAAGTAATAGGCTGGAAGAAAGCGTCCTTCGTAGGAGATCCGAAGCCCTGCGCTTGCTGGAACGAAGTACTTGCTGAGATTTATTGGAACGCAGCCACTGAAGTAGAGATCTACGTATGTGTTTTTTAGGCCAACACTACTACTAATTTAAAGCCTTTTTATGTTTACAGACTTGGATGCTTAATCTAAACCTAATGCTGCAGCAGTAAATTACCTGCCAGCGAACTTTTAAAGCTGTTTATTTATCGAGTTCATGTGTCTGTCAGTTGAGATGGTTTGGAAGGCTGAGCTAGTCTCGTGAGGTGGTGCAGGCCACACTCACGTGTGCGCGGCACTCACGTGCGCGCCCCGCTGCTGTCGGGAGAAGGCTGAATCCCGCGGGAGCGAATGGCTTCCAAAAATGACGGCAAGAAAATATCCACGGACCTATTCTCCCAGCTATTCTTGGGAACCTCCCAGGAGAATTTTTTAATGGTTCCTAGGAGACTTTTGGCTGTATTTTACCATTTTAAAAATAACCTTCAGATGCTTAACCTGTGTGGTTAGGTACAAAGAGAAGAAGTATAAAGCCCTCTGTCTCCTTACTGATTAAAATACTAGACCTTGTGTAAAACAAACCTGTAAAAGGGTAAAGAATGCAACCTGACTTGGCAATTTTGTTCAGGCTACTCGACGGACTAACAGTAGGTTTACATAGTTTTGTGTTTTGCTGTGGTAAGATAAATTATTTTGGTCTACTCTCTTATACTGCAGCAGAAAAGAATCTTGTGTTGAATATCTATTCATACAGCCAGGAAAATCACACATCCCGGAGGCTTTTACCTCTGTTTTGATTTTTTTTTTTTTCCCCAGTTGCGTCACTGCGAAGCAGAGGCTTTCTAGTGCCAGAATGAGTGTGGCGTAAAGAGCTTGCCAGACGCCGGTCTCCGTGACGTCTCTTATGTTCCTTTTCAGTAAAGTCTGGCATTAGTTTCTTTCTATTGCACTGATTTGGTGGTTAGCTGCAGTCTGAGGATGGTTTGAAGTTGGGAAAAGGTGTTTTTTTTCCTCTTAGGTGACTGCCTGCTCCTCTGTAGTCGTGGAAAGGAGCTGCTGTGGCAGAAAAATCAGTGCTGGAGCATCTTCCAAGGGAAATGAGAGGGAATTTCCAAACAGACTGATGAGGTGATTCACTCATTTGACTGTGCTGCTAATTCTTAAGGGATGGTCTCCGGAGATGGTTTTGCAAAGAACAAAGATAAGCTACTTTTTTGGTATGCATCTCTGCTTCATAATTTGTAGAGCAGGCCCTGAAGAGCTTTTGTGATTTAAAAAACCAGGAAGATTCTTTTTCCGTATGAAGTCCCAGTTTTTCTTCCCTGGAGAATTTATACGGTGGCTGGCGAGGGGCTGGAGGGAGGAAGCAGGTCGGGAGCCTCATAAATTGGCTTTGTTGTCAGAAAATCTGAAATGTGGAACCATGCCACATCAGCCAGCTTAAAAATCCGGGCTTTGTGGTAACCGTCGATACCTGCTTTTACTCCAATTGCGTTTTGGAAAGGAAGCGGCAGGGTTCTCCCTTAGCTCTCGTACCAGCGCTCTGCAGAAACGTTCCCCAGACACCCACGTTCAGCCCACAAAACCAAATGTGCTGCTGCTGCAGCAGAAGCACTAAAACATTTGATTTTTGAGGCCAGTTTATCTGGCCATCTCTGTGCAGGCTGATGCTATAGAAGAATCAACATTCAATAGTTTGTCAGAAAAAAGCTCGGCGAGTCTCGTTCTCTGGGCTCTGCGGCCTTTGTCTTGACCCGCTCAACTCGGCTGACAGCTCGGATCCTGTAAGTCGTGTTGCTCTTACTGTTTCGGTTTTGTTCCTCCTGAAACATCTCCTTGGGCTCCTGTTTGCTGGTTCCTGCCCCCGGCTGTCCGCTTTGTCCGTGTCTTGCCTGCATGTTTTTTCTGGAGGAAGTGCTTTTGTTTTGCTCCGTGCTCAGCGCCCTAGTGAGAGCATCCAGGGCTCTAGTAGCTTCGATCACTGGTAAAATGCTGGGGGCTCCGTGCACGGGTTGGAGGCAGCGAGTATCAGGGCCGTAATACGATGCGAAACCTTTGGAGAATGCAGGTGTCTCCAGCACTTATGAGAGAAGCGTACTAGTCTTGCAATTTGGAAAAATCACAATTGCAGGCTGAGCCGAAGCTGGGATATATCGTAATTAGACTAACGAAAGTATAAATATTGTGATATGAAAGAGGATCCGTAGTCTCAATTTATCGGCAGCGTAGTGATGAAAGAATGACTTTTTTGCCTTACAAGTTAGAAATAAACCTACAAGATTCTTGTTAAATAGTTGCGTTATTTGTCAAATTGGCTGGCGATAACGTTGTGATGTTACAAGTCTGATATCTCCAGTTTGCAATCCCACTTTCATATCTTCTCTGTAAATGCGTGCTGCGGTTCAAAAATTTTCTTAGGCAGCGTATGTTGAAGACTCTTATTACGTGTTTTCCATGAGCATATAACTGTTGTTAAAAGTGTAAGACTCCTTATCCCAAATGCAGCACGTGTGCCTAAAGAGCCCAGTAAATATGAGAGCTGTAGGATAATCCAGGCAGGAGGCGTGGATAGAGGTGGAGCTCTGGTTTGCAGCAAGTGACACTTCACGAAACGATAGATCTTACCTAGATTGAAGCTGGCCCACAGCCACTGGAAGGATAAACTGGCAAATATAAAACAAGATGGATATAAAGGAACGTGATTTAAAATCACTTCGCAGGAAGCTTTTTATTTAAACGCTGAATCTTGGTTTTCTTTTAGGCTTGTTATTTTTCTTAAAGTTTTGCTCTCATTTTTTATAACCGGTGGGATGCATTGCTTTCAGAATTGCAAGGATTCTGGGGCGTAGCCCTTTTGACAACTGAAACGAGCCAGTACTTTAAGCTATGCATTCAAACAGAAGTCCACCAAGAGTTTTGATTTGGGATCTTGTTTTTGTTGAGGGAAAACAGGGATTGATTTGTTTTTGATTTAAAAAAAAAAATTTTTTTATGCTTCAGATTTCTTTCAATTGTATTTCGATGAAAAGTGGAATTTAGTTAAGTCTGGAAAAACAGTGTCACAATTCTTTGTGGCAAAACAAAACTTCCCGAGCATGAGGGATGCATTCTTCATTTAAAAACAATGCATTCAATACTCGAAGGAAGGTAATGATTGGTTAGTTTGTCTGCTGACAGTGGTGATAGGGATTTCTGCACGTGCCAACTGGAAGCTTTCAAAATACCCTTGATTCCCTATATAGGCTGACATCTACTTGTCACTGAAGCTCTTGCCTGGTGTCTGTTTGCTTCTGAAATTTGTCCTGGCATCCATCAGATTTAGATTGCCCTTTATCATCTATTTTCTATTTCATAGCATGCAGGAGTGAAAGAAGCCTTCTATCCTTTCATCTCCCAGCTTGCATCTCTGAGTGTACTTGTCTGAATAAAGAGTATATTCTTTCACTTAAGCCAAACCCAGCAGTAATCAAAACAGAATATTTTCTACACAATAAACAGAACCTACTGACAAATGGGATGATGTAAATGCCAAGATTTGCTTCATTTTAAAGATTGGCATGAGGACAATGCCACAGTATTATACTGAATTATGAAACTTGAATTGACCAGGATAGTCAGATAACCCTCTCCCGTCTTATTTATATTTAAATATATATTTAAATATAGATATTTGAAAGGCATTACATTTGAGGAGGGAATATTAGTGTAGTGTTACTTTTTAAACAGTTAAAATAGAGTTAATTTAGATCTATGGCAATTTAGTATAAGCTTGAGAAAAATAGATGAAATTTTTGTTAAAAGAGGAGGCATTGTTGTCGGGGTGGGGAGGAACCAACCCCTGACTTGCCTGCCCCCTTATAAAAGGGAGAAATGTGGTATGAAACTGCACTAACATTATGTGGTTTAAGTAAAGCTGGGCGTCTGAAATGCTTTAATAGAGTTCCTTACACCCATTACTTCGTCGATGCCGTTAGTTTTACCTAAACAGAGAAGTACGTATTTAGGATGGCATGCTTGAAATCTAATGATGCACGCTGAACTTTAATTGTGGATAAATATTTAGGATGATAATGCCTTGAAAGCCTAATGAGTTTACCATCAATATTTTCTGCTCATCAACGTCCTGATAGGAAGCGCTATTAAAATTGGTACCTGGGAGCTCCTGGCTCAGAGGTGGTCTCGTAAATGCAATGAGATGTTGATGGAGGTGGGCTGTCTAACTCTTGTACCGGTGATGGACCACCAACTCCTCTTAAACTATGGGAATAAAAAGGAAAACAAACTATAGCAGAAAAGGTCTTTCTGTTTCTGAGCATGTAATGCAAGAAACTAGAAAGCTGTAGGCAGTTTCTGATGTAATGAAAAAAGAACAGAGCAAATATATTTAAGACAAGTATGAATTGCCCTAACATCTGCCTCTTAACAGTTAATCTTTTTCTAAGCTGCTCCATAATCTTCAAAAAATAGATAAATTGGGTTTGTGAATCCAGTATGTTTATTAAGCTGAAGAGTAGTAGTTACTGGTGGTTTTGATATATTGTTTGACAGCTCTAATTGAAGGAATCCTATTTTGTTAGCTCTTGAAAGAATAGTAGACTTGCATGGGGACTGACCTGTTCAGACTTCACGTGTCTCAGCGCAGGATCTGGAGATGAAGGGCACTGGAAGTCACACCACGTGCTGCTCTTACCAGCTCTGCAGGGAATAAGACGTCAGACTTCTAAACCATTTTTCCATCTGTTTGCGCCAACTTTATTTAACTTGCCTTTCTTTTCCTCTCTGTCTTCAGGCATCCAGCACTGGACCCAGGATGAGTGTGGAAGCAAGTGGCAAGCCCCTGAAGGTGGGCTCCAGAGTAGAAGTCATCGGGAAAGGGCACCGTGGAACAGTGGCTTATGTGGGTGCCACCCTGTTTGCCACTGGAAAGTGGGTTGGTGTCATCTTGGATGAAGCCAAGGGCAAGAATGATGGGACTGTGCAGGGCAGGAAATACTTCACCTGTGAAGAGAACCACGGCATCTTTGTGCGGCAGTCACAGGTATGCTTCCCGCGTGTGAATGTGCTCTGGGATGGCCTCTGCTTGCCAAGCTTGTCCTGGATATATATAGCTCGTGGACTGGGAAAGGTGCTTGATTAAATATAGGAAAATGACTCTCAGCACCTGCCGATGGGGGAGAGAGAAAACGCATTTCCTTCGCTCCCAGAGGCAACGGTGTTTCTTCATCTTCCATTGCATGAGGAACAGAACCGCTCCAAACACAGAAGCCTCTGCAGAAGGCAGTGCCCATGTCCGAAGTATAGTTTATTTTAATCTGACTCTCTTGTCGCCTTTGTGTGTTTCATCAAGTGTCTCGATTAGCCCAATTTATGGGGTTGTCATGAAATAATTTCAGGTGAGTTGGGTGGAAAAAATGCACTGCATTCTAGAGAGCATGAAATGGTTTTATTTTGCCTCCAAAATGAAGTGTACAAGTCTAGCTTTTATATACTGCCTCAGGGAATTATTAGCTACGTTATCTGCAGCAAATAATTTTTGGGACTGAAGTCTGGAAGTGAAGTCGGAGAATTTTAATTAGATAATGTTTACCTTAAGGTGTGTATGATTTGTGATTGGGGTTTAGTTGTTGAGCTTTTGTTACTTATGTACCATAGGTAGGAACAAAGATGTCATTTATGCACAAATAAGTCTGTTCAATTTTAATTTCTTCTGTATAACCTTCAAATGGTACAAGCACAGCAAAGACACAGTGTTCTTTAGTCCCACAGGCAGGTACGTTCCGACTATGATGGCACAGTGAGAGATGTTTGGCTCCCTTCCTCCTTCCCTTAATAGAAAATGATTTTTTTTTTTTTAAATTTGACCCTGTAGGATCTGAGAAGCAGAAACTTGCTTCCATTTCCACTAACCCTTCCGCCTTAGACCTGGTGACTCTCTTCCAGGATGTTGACAGTGTGCGACTGAGGAAGTACAGAGAAGCCAAACACCAAATAAATGGTTTTGGGAGCAGAAGTTGAGGTGGATTCCAGCATCCTCTGTCCCAGTGACCAGAAGGGCCATCTGTCCGCATGTGATCAGTGAATACGATAGCATGTTTCATTGACAGCCAGTTGAATGTTCTCTTCTGGCCGTTTGGCTGGGACTTACAGACCTGGCTTACCAGGTCTGTCTCTCAGCCTAGCCTCCCAGCTGGAAAAGAAGATACAGTGGTATACAACTAAAAGTTTTAGTCTACAAGTCCAGGAAGAGTGGTTTCTAAACCGGGTGGATAGAAATATGTTCAGTACACAAAGCTGTCCGTTGGTAGGTCCCTGCTTCTCAAGCAGGTGTACAATACCAGTGTTGCCAGACTGGGAGGGAATACAAGGGCTGTTGTTGTGCTCCAGTCAGAAAGGGTGCAGAGGACCGCATTATGCCTTCTGGTGAACGCAGTGGTGGAAACGAGGCGTGCAGTCAGATTGGTGGTGCTGACATGTACCAACTAGTATTGCTGTGTTTATCCTGAGTCTTGCAGAGGAGCTTCCATGTCATCTACTGGTGACAGCAAGAGTGGTGATGGAAAGGTTCTTATCTTGTATATGGCCTTTCATTGGGATGTTTGTGGTTCAAATGAGGGATCCACTAATAGTGTCTTCTCCTGGGGCTTTAACGTTCTGCTCCCTTCCAGGAAACGGTCCGTTCAGGAGCTCTGCGCAGGGATGGCTGAGCCTCGCTCTGGGAGTCAGAGTCGTCTGTCGCTGCGCTCCCACCTTTCTTCCTTCTCTTCTGGAATGTTTTAGGTCTTATCTCGCCTTATCCTCAGCTGAGGTACACAATGTATTCTTAAAAATGAGCTGCTTCTCCACAGTTGATAGTGCAAGAAGTTTGTCGCTGCCTGCTCTCACCTGTGGAAAAGCAAATCCCTAGTGTACACGTGCAGAGATGAACTAGCACTCCTAGTGCAGGCTGTCCCTCTAGATCTGACTCTCTGATTTATATGGACAAATGAATTTGACAAGCAAAAGGGAGCATAGTTGCTTATGAAAACAGCACTGCCGAGTTTCTGAAAAGGAAAAGAAAAAAGAAAAAGAGGTGTTTGAGGAGCCTAACTAAAATGGGAGTTGGAGTCGTAAATCTCAGCGGTTGTTAATGCCCGCCTTGCGCAGCGGCAGGCTGCTGCCGTAAGAAGAGGTGCAGCACTACAGTTCTGTTCTGTCCGGCCCTTTTAATAAAGGTCTAATTGTGTGGAGCACGGCTTCCCGTTTCAGCATGCGGCTTAGAAGGGGGGTGAGTCCGCCTGTAGCAGAGGCGAAGGAACCGAGGTGGCGGTGGCCGAAGCTGGCCGCGGGCGTCAGCCTTTCCCCGACCAGCAGCGAGCTGGTTAAGAGCGTTGGTGGCGCGCCTGCCTCCGTCTTGGGGGAGATCTGGCCCAAACGGGCCTATTGCAGTCCGGGTGACTGAACTTCCTGTTCCCAGTTTTCAACAGGGACGTTTTTCGGAGGCTGCTAGGGAGCAGGGTAACGTTGCTATAGCAATGTTGTTGTGAGCCGAGCGAGCGGGAGCTGCTGCAGGTTAGGTCCCCGCTCGCCGGCAGAAGGCGAGAGGCAGCGCGCTGGCGCTGGCAGTGCTGCTCTGCTGCCCGCTCGGCTTTTGGCTGCTTATTCTGCCACCCGCTTAGTCTAAGTTGCCAAGGCTGTTCGCAATAAATTGAAATCCCAGCCTTTGGCTTAAACCAAAGTGACCGTTAAGGTCTGGGGATTAATTTTTCAAGATTTGGTTTGGAGAAATAGATGGGAAAGGGCAGGATGCCCTTTTAGCGGAGTTAATGTTCTGCCTGTGCTCTCAGCTGTGAATCTGTCTACTGCTTCCTCCCATATTTCATTTGTAGCTCTCTCTAACACGGTGGGCGGCTTTCCTGTGGTTACACATGGTGTTGGACCGCTGAATATGAATAATAAATCATTGGTCTTGAAAACAATTTATAACACACATTGCTTATGAAGCGGATCGACTACATCACTACAAGCACATCTCATTAAATCTATGTAAAGTGTATTTAGGAATTTCCAAGATCGAGTAACTTTCTGTTCTCCCCACCACCCAAAGATATCTCTCCAAAAATGAGCACCGGTAATACCAGCATCAATAGGATATAGCAGAATACTAAGACTTTTAATTTATTGTAGAATTTTAGCTTTAAAAATGCACTGACAGAAAAACTTTAGTTTTTAGAGGGTGTTTTTTTTTTTTCCCTGTTTCCTACAGTTATTCAGGACTAGATCCCAGGTAGGGGGATGATGCCATGCTTATATCTACAAGAAAGTTCGACTCCCTTAAGGAAGGAGCAAACCTCGCGTGACGTCTGCTGCAGAGCGCTCTGCGTATTACTGGCTGCGGTTGAGACGTGCATCCTACCAATACCTTGCCTTGGTCAAGGGGAAGCAGAAATCCAAACGAATTATGATAATTACCAAATCATTTCCCATTGTTAGGCCTGCACTTAAAGTAGTAGTTAACAGCTTCCCGTGCATGGCTATCTCTAGGTGAGAGTCGATAAAGACTCTTTGGACGCGGTGGAGCAGGCAGACTTGAAGTGTAATAGCCCTACGGGCTGGGTATCCGTTTTTCACGCTTCTTGGCAGGGCAGTCGGCCCAAAGGAGCTGGGTCGCTTTCTGCCCTTGAGAGCAGCCTCCTCGCGCCTCCCAGCCGGCAGGAAGGGAAGGTGACGGCAGGGAGCCTGGCGTTCGATTCAGCTGTGAAGGAGTCTGCCTTAGGTTGTACAAACGAACCTCGAGTGTTCCAGTTTGCCTCGGAGACTGTAGATACCAAGCCAAACGGGGGAACAGGATGGGGAGGAGCTGTTCCAGCTCTCTCTGACCATTCCTTCCCTGTTTGTTTTCCCGTTAGCAGAGGACTGGAATATTGTTTCATGCAGCTGTGTCAATACAGACAGGCATTTCCAACCGCTTTTGGCAACTGTAAAATTTTGCCTGCCTAGGACTTTCATTTGGGCCAGTAATTTTGAATATGAGTATTCCCTTTTGCCATGTGGAAACCTTAGCGTTCGTTTTGGCACCAAGGGGAGCTGCTTTCCCGCTCTTGCTTGGCAGAAGAACCCATTGCCTTAACTCTGCCTCTGCAGCATGTCTTGTGTGCTGTTGCGTTTCTCCAAGCTAAGCCAAAAGCAAGCCCCGTTCTGATTCCTGCTTTTCTTCTCTGTGTCGTTAATGTTGGACTGTTGATAGACCGCAAAATGTGTTACAGGCTACAAGTGGCATTTAACAGTCAACGCGCTCCCTTTCTGGGACCGGAACACAGCATCAATCTGTTACGGCATCGTTCTACAGGGATTGTCGGTGGTGGTGGTGTTGCAGGAGCAGTGAAGATCACTATACTTGATTGAAGTTGAAGAAGGAATTTAGGAAGGAGGGCTGATGTGTTGGAGCAGGGCCTGTTGTGGAAGGTGCCGTGGGATGATGAAATAATTGGTATCTGCTGTCTGCTTGATTTCAGGATAAACTAAACCCTATAATGGTGACGTCAGTGCTTGTGATTCCATCTCCCAGTATATCTGATATTGCCCCCTAAGTTGTACCTGGCAGAGGACTACATCCAAAATGAGCATAAGATTTTGAGTGATCTTGAACTCCTTTGTGTGGCATGGTGTAGCAGTTCCCCCTGCATCGTGTTTCTATAGTCCTTGGATATGTTTTTGTCAATATTTTTGCATGCTGTTGTCCTGACTCAGTGAGTTGTCATGAAAATCTGTGCATTGCTGAAGTCGCATAAAAGATCAGATGTACTTGGCTGTGTTGGAGATGCACTTTCAGCATGATCTAAGGGACGCTTTCCTTTTCTTCACTTTTTAAACCATGGTCTAAATGTTGTCACTACTGGTGCAGTTGTCATGATTTCCGTGGCATAATTTCGTTCAGTCTCCTTGTTCCTTTTCATTCAAGAATTTGTTCCTGGTACTTGGGCATCTTTGCAGAATAGAATCTATGACTGACAGATTTACAGATTTTATTTATTTATTTACTTTAACTGAACTCCCATGCTCAAGGTTTTTACACAATAGACAGGGCAAGTAACCTGTCAGGAAAAGTTTGGGTAGCATTGACTTTCTAGGGTGAAGGGGTGGTTCTCGAGAAGTGATCTAATCCTTTCCGATCCTGTTTTCTACACTTATCAAGCAAAAGTATGTCCAAAAAACAGTGGACAAAGAACAAAACCTAACGCCCCACCCCTTAAATACCTTAAAACAACTTGAACCTGAAAGTATTTCTGTTTATGCCTACTGGCATGAACCCAGAGATCTTGGCCGCACTCAGTTAAAAAAAAAAAAAAAAAAGGGGGGGGGGGTGAGGGGAGGCAGGGAAGCTAACTGGCTGTGTTGGCGTTCTGAATTGCTACAGTTAGTGTATTTCAGAGAGAAGCAGTTTTCCTTAAAAAGGGGAATAAGACTTTTAAATTCATTTTTGCTAAGATAAAACATGAAAAAAATTCCAGATTTCCTTCAAGTGTCAGTAACTTAAAATCTTTGACAGACCAAAGTTCATAGACTGATTGCTACGTAGAGTGATCATAAAACTGTTACAGATTTTTCTGGGCTGCTGAATCCTGAGTTTTTACTTTCTTTATTCCCTACTTGAATATGTAGCTCTTTTCAGGAAGCCTATGGAAGGAGGATGGTCAGATATTTGAGCCTGAATAGGTGAATTACGAATCTGCATCAAAAAACGTAGTCTACTCTTTTTGAATCTGCTGCAGAAATGGACCTACTACATAATCACTCTCTTCCTTTCTTGTAATAAGAGTTGTTAAACTTTTTTCAGATCCAGGTTTTTGAAGATGGAGCTGATACAACATCCCCAGAAACACCAGAATCTTCTGCCTTGAAAGTCCCGAAAAGAGGTACGTCTGGTGTGTTTGGGCTGTGAACCCTCGTCTCTCCCTTGGTCTAGACCAGACAAAGATTTCACCGCCAAACATTCAGTGCTGCAAGGAGTCCCGGCTCTGGGGAAGCGGGCTCCTGCTGCCCGGGAGCTCCTGCACGTGTGCCTAATGCTGTGTCTCTGGTTCAGGTACACCTTAGTCTCCCCCGGGCTGATCCCACGTTTCCTGTTGTCCTCTCTGCACGGTAGGTCATGGTCATTGTGAATCAGAAGGAAGCACCTCATACAAAAGTTGCTCCAGGCAGTTCTGTCCTTACCATGAAATGTGACTGGGAGGAAGCAGGGTTAAGCTAAAAGCAAAGTGGGAAATCCTTCTTCAAAGTGTGGGGCATGTGGAAGAAAGACTTGAACTGCTCTGAAGTTGTGAAATTACAGCTTATAGGTCAATAGCCTCTAGAGCCCGCGTGTTTCTCACCTCTTTGGTAGAGAACGCTTTCCGCTCAGTAATGGGAGCGTTCTTTGCGTTTTTTCCTTTGTTGGGCCAATTTCTAATAGCCTTCTGTGTTTTGTTACCTCTTGGGTTGTGGTTTTCTTTCATTTCATATGCTTGCCTCTCATTGGGATCTGTTTTGTTAAGTAATTATTTTGCGGTACATTTAGGGATGGTAGGAGCTTTAGGAAAAAACTCATGATAGTTTCCTGTCCTGGACGGGTTGCAGGCAATATATGCCAAAGTGAGGAATTCTTGTATGCGAACTATTAGCTGAATGTGTGCCTGACGTTTCAGAATAATGCTCGTTATTTCTGGCCAGTAGAAGCTAAAATACCCCTTTACCTGGCAAAGTGAAATCTCCCCTTTGACTGCATAAAACATGCCTGGAGGCACCAGAATGGGGTGATGTTTCCGCACAGAAGTGCGATGTTCCCATGAGACGTTCATTTTGTCCATCCCGTGAGTGGAAAGGAAATTTGAGTTGGCATTCACGTCTCTTGGCATTCTGCCTTCACCTTGTCCTGAGAAGGGTTCTGAACTCTTAACGGCTCACTGTCACTGCGGAGGCTTGGGTTTGGTATAATCCCAACCACTTCAATTCATCTCCGTTTTGAATTACCCAATTAGCATGTGCAATTGAACAGAAAAACATTTAAAGCAAGCCAGTTTGAGTTTAGCTGATGTGTTTTCTCTCTCTCTCTTTCTCTTGCGCTCTCTCTCTCTCTCTCTCTCATTCTTTTTTTTTTAAGAGGTAGAAACGTAATGATTTTCTTAACTTAAGAACTTAGAGTTTTTTTTTTCCCTAGAGTGCTAGAAAGCTCAGCTTTTCATGTGCAACTTCAATCTGCTCTTTTTTATGTACTTAATAGTAAGTGAAAATATTCCTTGATGTTGTTATGACTTTTTTCATTATTTCTTGTAGTTTGAAGTTCTTGTAGTTCTTGGAAAGTCTAAACTTCAACAGAAGATTCAGGTTTTTGTGTTACAATTCTGTACTCGTTTAGGAGAAGGCGCTTGCGTGTGGAGCCATGCACGCGTTTCTTCACTGCTTCTGTGGGGTCAGGCTTTCTCAGTGTCTGTTAACGGACATTAGCCATTTGAATGCTGACATAGGCAAAAGCTACAGGCCTTCTGGAGCTGGGAATCTGCTGTCATTTTTCTCATTCAGTTACTAGGAGCTAAGCAGAAAGTGAAGACAAATGCCCTTTAGACCATCTGGTAAAGTCCTGGGAATTCAGCAGTAGGCTTATGCTTTCTCAAGCAGGCTGACGGATACGTAAATAGAGGCAAGAAATGTTAACTACATGGAGCTATGGTAGCCTTGGAAAAAGGAACAAATCAAGCCTCCAGGTTTATCCTGTCTCTCTAGCAAATGTTGCTGCCTTTTAGTTTCACTAGATGTGTGTGTATCAGTATGACGACTCCTTACAACGTGTGCTTTCTCTCCCCTCTCATTATATGAAAGACTTTCTAAGGCTCTAATCTCCACCGTCTTCTGCAGAGTTGTCTCATTTCTTCCAAAACCTCTTTGCCTTGGGACGACCAGAAGTGACTGCGGCATCCAGAAGTGCATGGCCTGCTTACTTGCATCATACCACTGTGATATTTTCAGTGCTGTCTCTCCCTTTTTTCATACACTCTGAGGTTTATTGTTGCTGCCCAGCAGTGTTCGCTGAACTTCCTACGGCGACACGCTGGCCTTTTTTCTCCAGCTGCTGAATTCTTTCACTCAAATACAGAAAAGAATAAAACACAAGCAGTTCAAGTTTTCCCTCCCAGTGCGCAGTAAGTGTCACATTGCTGCATCTGCCCCTTGCTGCTCAGTGCTTATTTCCGGGAAGGAGCCCCCAAAGTCCGTAGAGGGGGAGAAACTGGAATTTTTAGCTCAGGTAGAAGTTTGGAGGTTGCAAGATGGGTGTTGTCAGCAGTTTGCACTCTCTGCAGGTAGCAGTCTAGCTGGCCTTGAGCACCCTGACGTGGCATTCGTGTTGGGGGGTAGGAGGGCGTTGCGGGGAGAGGTAAGAGACAGACCTGGTCTAGAGTGAAAGCTGATGGCTGAGCTGGGGATTTGGCCAGGGAGGGAAATACTGCGAAGGTGAGGGGCAGTGCCAGAGCACTGCAGAGCCGGAGCTGCGCCGTGGATTCGGAAGGGGCAGGCGGCAGCGTGGGCTGGCTCCCAGGGAACGGGCTGTTCCGAGGCCAGCTCGGCAGGGCACGTCGGGAGCAGGGTGGTGGAAGGGCGGCTGTTCGGTCTAGCACCGTGGAAGGTGAGAGGATGGCAGCACGTGGGCTCCCTGTTCGCGTTTCGGCGCTCCTTGGAGTAATGAGATACAGGCGCTCGGAAGCGTGGCTCCGTGCCAGGAGTTTCCATAGAAACAGTGGTGCCTGCTGCCGCAGTCTGACTCTGCGGTACGTGATGCAGATTCCCATAAATCCAGTACCTTCCCTCCCAAGCTAGTAAAGGTGTAAGATGCGCAGTGGAGGTGGCTCGTATCCTTTATTTATGAGACCCTTCTGCAGTGTTTGTTATCGGGGCAGCCAGTGCCACAGTTCAAAACACTCAATTCTTGAATTCCAGCCATGAGAGGAGCTGGGCAAACAGCCGCTGTGGCTGTGAGCTGCTGTCGTGGACCCCTCAGCTATCCAGAAACAGAACAAAGGATGTAATTTAGCAAAACCTGCTTTGGTTGCTTGCATTTCTGATGCGTGTTTACCAAGACTGTGCAATTAGATGGTGCTTCCACACTCACGTACGTGGCCTTCGCTCTGCTGTTTAACTGTGCGCACCAACAATCCAAAGAATGAGGGAGGAATCCTGAACGCAAGGGAAGTGGGTTTGCCTGAGAAGCGGATTTTAGCTCTGAGCTGGCATTTGCCATCCTGCTCTTACGGTCAGAGTTCTGTGGCAACGTGCATAGTTCATCCTCTGTTTTGTGGGTGCTCTGTTAGGATGACAAAATGGGAGCACCTCGCAGCAGCAGCTGGAACCCTATGAGCTTAGTGACCTGGAGCAAGGCCGAGACCTGTCAGGATTGTGGTTTTAGGGCTGTTGATGCCCCTTTTTATCAAGTGACACGTGCATAGTTTGCTGAGCTGAGGTAGCTATTGAATAGAGGCAGAACAGAACCGTAGTTGGTAAGTTTGGAAGCATTTCCGAGCAGCTGTCTTAATTGCTCAGAGAGTTGGTCTCTTGTAGGTATACGTTTTCTTTATGGGTGTTCAGATTCCTGGCTGCATACAGTCCCAGATGGAAATGTATTTTAGTTTCCTGAGTGAAGTAAATGATCTCTGGACCTATGTTTCTATGCATAATCACGGTTGATTCTCATTTGGAATCCAGGTAGCTGGGTATGGTCATATGGACAGCTAGATTACCGTACATTTCTGATGAGGAGGATATTTGGAAGGTGACTCAAAGCTCTCTGAAGTTTTGCAGCTATTTAAAGAAAAGACGTGTGTCATGACCTTCCTCTAAAGGGCATATGTCTGAATGTTTGTCTGTTTTTTCCAGCTGTGCCAGCTGGTCTAATAAGGGAGTGCTGCTTCCTACAGACCTTACCTCATCTATACCCTGTTGTGCCACCATCTCCTGATTTATCCAGATCTCCATCATCTCTGCTTCACTCCCGCTCCTCTAAGAACACGTGTAAACGGTCCTTCCCATATGCCTCAACTCTTGCTGGACTGCAGAGACTCTTGGTATGCACGTTAGGGCAGAGGGCTCCCTTGGGCCGAGGCTTATGGTTCTATTTCTGTTTTTCTTTACAGATTCCCTGGAAGCCGCCAAAGCCAGCAAACTGGTGAGTGCTGAGCCTGTAACTGCAGGCCGTCGAAATAAATTCACTTTGTTGCCTATGGTTAGTGGAAGAGGCAGGCTTGCACACGCTACTGTATTGATTTTTCTTCATTGACTTCTATCACCTCTCTAAAAGCTTCATTTTCTAGCCCTACAGAAAAACTGCGTGGGCACGCACACACAAAACATACAGAAAGGACAGAGTTTTACCAGCCTGTCTCCTATTTTACTTTTTCAGTTCTGTATTCTATAATAAAAATGCCAGTGGTAAAATACGTTTCTTCTGAAACATGTGGGGAAACAAGGCCACATAAAAAGTAATTTCTTCAGCTAATGGCTAGAAACCAGTAAGTTATAGATATAATCTTCTACCTACCTTTCTGCAGTTAAGGAATCAAATCCCAGCACGGTAGCTGCATTAGATTTTTATCGTAAGTTTAGTCAGAATTGCAAAATGTGAGCCCTGCATGCTTCTTGGCAGTGTTCCTTAAAAATCCTGACCTTTGCATCCTGCAGGAAGAGTGTGCTTTTCAGGAAATTTGAAATGATCATTCTCTGGCTTGTATGTATGGCTTTCAGATAAACTCTGTGTATGCTTCCTTGAGTATCATTATCTAGGAATCCCTATGACTCTTGAGACATAAATGGGTACGTGTTTGTATCCAAATATATGATGCGTATTTCATAAGTAACAAAAAATTGGAGCAAGTACTTATATTTTCAGGTACTTTTGACCCCCAGACGGGCTCAATTAAATAGCTACTGAAGATTAAAAACGCAAAAATGGCCAAATTTCTATGTAGATACTGTGAGCATCTGTGGTGATACTGGATGATACGGTGAGTTTGGTTTGTGCATACTTTAGGATAGAAGCTGGATGTTTCTCATTTTGTTTCAATGAAAGCAATTCAGTCTTGAAACCTTTTTCTAAAGAAAGCTGATAAACTTGCCTTTGTTTAATATCTTTGCACTGATTGCCTGGTCAGTCCTAGAGAGCTTAAGCTTGACTCTCTCTCACTGCTTGGTTCTGAGTGGTACTTTCTAGGCTTGAAACTGGTGAATCTGAGCACTGCTGTTTATTCTCTTTGTTTATGGACTTGAAATTAATAGGAAGCTCCATGTTGCCCCCTTGTGCGCTTAACACCTGCAGTTCTGCATTAGGACGGTTACTGAGTCAAATCTTATGCTTTGCGGTTTCAGGTAATTGCCAAGAGCAGGAAGAATGGTTTTACCCCTTGATGCACAGCTATATTCTGGGTCCTGGTCTGCCTGTGCAGCATCAGAGCGTGGCCCACTTGGAAACGGGGGTGACGGACCAGCGCTCTGAGGTGGTCCCGACGGACATCGTTCTCGGATGTCCCAGCGGGTGTGCCATGCTTGTGCTCTGAGTCAAGCTGACTGCCAGAGTAGAGGTTGGGGAAGAAATCCCCCCGCTCCTGCCCCCCATAATATTTACAGGGAGTTTGCAGGGGTTGCCTTTCCTCTGCTGAATGGGCATAACTTACCTTCTGGCTCATCTTGTCTGACTGGTCTCTTCTGTTGCAGAGCCTCCGGCACTGGTGGCATCTTTTGCCCTTGTGTTCTCTGCCTGTGGTGAATAATGTTTTGGTCTCCTGGTTTAATTATACACTGGAATTAAGAGATGAGTTGCGAGGTGAAACTCAACAGTGTGTTGTAAAGGCAATCACATTACAGTTTCTGAAAATGTGGGATGCAAAAAGGAGTCATGAAGCGTTGGAAGAAGACTTTTAAAATTGTTTCAAAACACATATAATAAAAGACAAATACAGTATTTATGAACGGGGAAAAAAATCCTAGCGTTCACGAAGGCAGGATGCTAAAAGAAGTATTTTTTTCTTTAAATGCTTTATGCTGTTCAGATTCCAAGAAGGTTATAGGAAAGCAGATGAACCAAAAGGCATTGCACCCAAAAGGATTAAGAAACCCCAGATTAAATATCTAATGGTACCTTCTAGTCATAAGCATAACACACTTTTTCTGCATAAGAGACTGCTACTATTTTACAAAGAATTTGGTGCTGGCTGTGGTTGGAAGCAAAATATTTTGGTAGCTGGAGCAGTGTCCTGTTCTGGGCTGGAGATGCTGTTGCTGTGATGTGCTGCTGTGCTGTGGGGGCGCGCTGTCTAGCATTTTCGTTACGGAAAATGCTAGAGTTCAAAATATATGTCCTGCTACATTTTAAACGCTATCGCTAGGGTGGTGATAGACTTCCAGCAGTATTTTGAGTGATGCATCAGAAAGAGATCAGGATACACACAGATTTGTCTTTTACCTTCCATATGAGAAACTGGCTTTGAAAAAGAGAATGAGGGCTCTGTTGTTTGTCTGCATTGATTATACAGCTTTTCCCAGGAACTGCTAGAGCTGCCAGACAAAAACATGAAAATTAGGTGCTGGAGAAGTGCTTTGAGCTACAGTCCAGGATTTTAACCCAAATAGATATCTTTACTCTATTGAATAAACACTTAGCTCACAGGCTAGTTGCCTGTCAAACCTGAGATCCACGGAACGAGTTCAGGTTAGTCTTTCATGTTACAGGCTGACAACATAAATCTTCCCTCTTTCTGTATGCGGCAAGTCTGATCAAACGCTTAAGGGTTTGGCTTCAAGCCAACATAATAGCACACTGGAGAAAGGAACAAAAGCAAATAGTGGTTCTTGAGAGACTGCATATATCCCCAAAGAGAAGGGAGCATGCTCTTTCCAGAGATGTTGCAGTGGTGCTAGGCAAGCAAATGCCAGAGAGAAAGCTTCCCTCATGCGAAGCCTGAGCTGTAGGGTAAGCGTTCTGCAGCATTCTCCAGCATCGCGTCCTGATCTTTTAATCGGTGTTGCGGTTGTTTGCAGAAAGTGATACTGAAATTGTGGTCCAAGCATCAAGAGTTCGGGGAGGTTAGCGAGAGTTACTGGAGTAAGGATCCTGCCTCACGATGGGCAAGCCCTTGCAGTCTGTTCGGTTTTTCTTTGGCCTATCTGTACGTGGTGTAGGCTTGACTATTTAGTGACAGTCGTGAGAACTGATATTTTCTGAGAGCAAAAGCTTTTCCATCTTGAGTGTGTACTTAACACTGCTGCAAAAGGCATGTTTTCTGTGGTAGTACCATATCGTATTCCCTGAAAGTAGAGAATGAAGCAAGAGCGCTCGGTCTCCTCCCGCAGCAGAGGCTCTCGAAGGCCTGCTGGGGGGAGGCTCTGGGCGCCGCAGCGCGGGAGCCCGGCTTTCTGCAAGCCTGTTTGCTGACAGGCTGCTTGTGCTCCGGGTGTAAATCCCTAAGAAACCGGACGTCTTTCTGTTAAGCTACAGCTCTTTCCTGGCCTCCGTTGGCTCATATATTGCTCGTTAGTGTTCCCACCTCTGCGGCCTGGGGTAGGGAATCGAGTCCAGGTGGGGCCTTTATGGAGCTCTGAGACACCAGGACTTCCCGGCTCTGTTGGCATCTCCTGAGCCCTTCAAGACAGGGACTGGTGAGGGCAAAAAGCACAGCCTGTTATTGATCTCTACCCGTGTTAGCCCAGCAACGCAACGTGTTCAGTCAGATCACCTTTGTGGTGCTTTACGAGTGATATGTTTGTGTCCCGGGCTGAGATGTTATCGAAGCAAGTCTTTGGATGGCGTCTGGAAAAAATGAGGAAAGTCAGAACTGGCTCTGTTGGGATGTGAACGGGCTGGAGAGGGTGCTCAGCCGCTGAGGCAGGCCCGTGCAGCAGGGCAGTCCCCGTAGTGCCAGGAATATGGAAATGATCAAACATGTGCATGAAGAAGGTGTGAGACGTCCCCGAATCTGAACTCGAGTCACTTGCTCTTCAAGGATGGCTTCGCGCCCCGTTGACGTTAAGGGCAATCAGTTCCCACGAAGCGCGAGGGTGAAAAGTCAGTGCTTTCTGCGTGGAAGCCAGTTCTTGCTCCGCGCTCCTCAAACCCTCGCCTGCCGCGCACGGCCTCGGGCGGATAGGTGAAGCTCGGCCTCGGCTCCCGGCCTGCTTACTGAGCCCGGAGGCGCCCCGCTCCTGCGAGCGGCCGCAGCTGGGGCAGCGCTGGTGCTGCTCCGCTCCAGCCGCTGGTTAGCGGTGGCTTTGCCAGTAGATGTCAGTGGAGGCCGGGGAAACGCCGCGACTAGCTGCGCTGCTGTCCCCTGCTAGGGACGCGGTGCGGCTCCCGCGAGCTGGGGGCCACCCCGAAACGCAGCGTTTCCCAGTCATCTGCCCCGGCCGGTTTGAGGTCTTTCGTCCCTGTGTTTCCTTCCTCCCCCTTTCTTCGTTTGTGGTCTGGGAGACGCTGCCGTCAAAAGCATGATGCTCTGCGTTTGCAGATTTCTCCCGAGAAGCTGTTAAATCAGCTCTGCCAAACAGTTGGGGCACTGCGAATTGTGAAGACGACTTTCCCCCCAGTATGTAGAGGGGACCCTGCTCTGTGAGAATGGAGGCAAAGCGGAACAAATTTTCTGCCCGCTCTGGATCGAATACATCTCTTACCAACATGATTATATAAAACTTTCAGCAGCCAGGAAAAATCGTCCAGGGGGGGAAGCAGCCTGTGCGGGGCTTTGCCTTTGTGTAGTCAAGAGCTGCTTTTTGAAAGTGCAGTCTTGTGTTACTGTAAGTCATAAGTAGTCTTTGTTACCTGAGGCAAGTTTGCTAGTTTTACTTGCTCTTTAATACCTGGAAATGCCTTAACAGAAAACGTGGAAAGGAACAGATGGATACAGTGGCTCCTTCACAGTGCCCGGTCCAGGACAGGGTCAGTGTGGGAAGTGAGCAGGGTCTGTGAAAGCTGATTTGGGACGGAGCTAGTTCCCAGGGATTCCAGGTTTCAATCAGCTCAGAAGGTCGGTTAACTCTTCTTTTCCAGTGCTAATGACAACCATTAAAAGAAATCATTCTCCTTCCAAAATGCCCTGGAACCTCAAAAGATCTTGGTGCTGGAAGAGTGGCAGCTGGATTAACCGCACTGGGAGTAAAGCTAGTGCATCATAGCATTGAAAATAAGCTCCACTGTCTACTTTCCTCTGTTAAGCTATTTTATACTTGTTTAAATTTGCCTGGATGTATTTTCCTCTCTGATTGTACTTATTTTACTGCAGCCCAATGACTTCACTGATTTTTAGAGCTATTCATGAAAGAGTACGTTTCTCCATGTCGTTTGAACCGATAACAATTTTCTTGTCATAGTCCGTATGATGCAAGCTCTAATTTTCTAACCTTTTATTCCTCTTCATGCAGCGTGGAGTGAAACCTAAAAAGGTGGTGCATTTTTTTTGGCAATTAATCTATATGTTGCAGAGTCACCTGGCCGCATGAAATGCCTTCCAGTGCATCCCAGTTCATTGTCACTCATTGCTGCTGTGCCCTCATAGTACGATTGCATGTTTGCTCATTGCATGTGTCCCCTTCTCCAGCCCCCAGCCTGGCCCAGCTTGCTCAAAGAATGCAAGGTAAATGCAGTGAAAACGATTGCTTCTGAGTTAGACTTGAAAAGGGTTTACGTTGCTGTATCTCTGCCCTGACAGTGCTCCAGAAAGGTGCAGAGGTTTAGAAGCCAAGCTTTTTTTTTTTGCTTTATGTACAATTCTGAGAATTTTCTGCTGTTCCAGTTAATCACAGTCGAGCTTTCATGTCAGCATTTGGTGCCGCTTGTGGAATGTGCCCAGTATCTCTCAACATGTGTATGGAAAGTTTTTACATCGACTTAGTTCAAGTCTTGAGCACCCAAGAGACAACACACAAATGCTTGACTGATGCTCTTCAACTTGGCTTTCACGTTCTTTTCCCTTCTCTTTCCTTTAACTGCCTTTTTAATATAGTGTGCTTTCCCCTACATGTGGATTTTGTAAGTACCAGGTAAATGTTAAGGAAATTACTCGCTGTGGGAAGTATGAGCTATGTGAGCTTCACACTTACTATCTTAACTGGAAACATTTAAAATTGTGTAGATTTGTCTTGGTAACCACATATGCTCTTACTGGGCCACCCTGTAGCCCTTGTTTGATCAATATATAGCAGTTTTCTAAAAGATACAAGGTAGTGCTACATTATGAGTTTTCTTATAAGTGGTTTTAATTTAGCAGTGAGCAGTGGTAAAACAGGGAACAACTGTAGTAAAAGAACAAAACCTAAGAGTTTGGAAAAAGATACAGTGCTGCTAAGAAACATGCTTCGGTGTCTTAGAGACAAGTCACTGTTTTGCATGTATGTGAAAGTTGCCTTCTCCTTGAAATACTACTTCCCATGTTTCTTCCAGATAGCATCAAAAAGAAAGGTAAGAACACCCCACAGCTAGTTTCTTCATAATTAACATATATCAAAGCAAAAAAAAATTGTATGACTTGTTACCAAAATGAACTAAAACTATATAGGTCTTGGCAAAGAGTAATATTTTCTTACTGCCTATTTAGGGAATATTATTTTGCCATGGAAATCCTACCAAGAAAAAAGCAAATCTGGCCACTCAGATACTTGCAATAGGCATAATACAAGCACTGAAAAGAAAGTGAGACAGTACCTGCTTGGTCCTTTATGTACGAGATGCCAGTTAGTGGTATCTGCGATGGATCTTTTATTTCCAGCCGTTTTCATTTCGATTTTTGGGTGGAGAGATAATGCAAAGAACAGCGTTTATCCTTCCTTAGAAAGCCCACAGATGAGGAGCAGAGTAGAGGGAGAAGTTAGATGTTCCATTTAAAATTTGGTCTGCAGAGACGCTGTAGAAGGATGGCCGGGAACAAATACTACTGGAATTTTTTTTTCTCTTCTAACCTCTTTTACGACCTCTCTCTAGTCTGAAGTCTCTGCACGTGTCTGATATTTAACTTTTGTGCTTTCCTGCTAGCTGTTTTCCTTGCTGTTTTGCATGCAACTCTTACTTCTATCCAGCTGTCTTTCATGGCTCTGTTACGTTGATGGGAAGAACTTCTGGTTTTGAATGTTTGGGGGTTTTTTTCCCCACTTTCCAATCTCCCATTCATTGTGATTTCCATGGGGTTAGGTTGATTGCAGATCATGGTACATATGCTACCATCTGTTCAGAGCTTTAGTTGCCTATTGCTTTTAAAATAAGTGGTCATGTGGTAACGGCTGTCCGGAGGACCTATGTCACAAAAGAATATTCCTGACTAGTGTTGCGTGGAGATGAAGCTCGGACAGGTACGTCATAGCTTTTCTCAGAATGACAGTCTTGTGCCACGAATTTTCCGATGTCACCTCAGAATTTAATTTTTCAGATGGAAGCCTTTAATAAACCTGCCAGCTCTCCGCTTTCCTTCTCTACAGCTCTTGGCATTGTACAAGTGTGTGAAAATTGCGATCCAGTTGGTATGATTGCAAAATAAGTAACATTATTAGCAGGTAAATCCCTATTCATGAGATTAAGGTAGCTCTTTGTATGTTAAATATAGACTTTAATCGGGTTAAAAGCTGTTTCCTCTTGCTGCTTTTTTTGTGCCAGATGGTCCTTGTCCTCTAAGCTATTGTGCCCCTCTCTGTTTGTGCTCTTTGCCTTGGTTTCGCTACTGTCTCTAAATCTCTTCTGCCCCCCGGCCCTGGCATTCAGCAAGAACAGTGGAATAGGCAGCCCCTTGCCCTTGAGGTCACGGCTGTTTTGTGACCTTTACTGGTTGGTGGCACGGACTGTGCTATCGTCCCTGGTAGGCAGCCCACTAGGGCTCCCGACCATCGTGGGTGGTTTTGTACAGCTGCTGCTGGCAAGATCCCCGTTGCTTCGTTTCTGGGGCTGAAAGAAGCTGGGAGGTTCTGATCGTTATCTGTGAGCTGCATAGCAGCAGAAGGGTAAACGGTGTCAGGGGATGTCCTCCTTCTCCCCATATGCATCTACCCTGCATCTAGGGGTACCAGTGGCAGTTCGGATGCTGGCGGTCCAGGCTGCGCTCCTCTGGCACAAGTGAAGAATGAAGGAATTTCTGGCTCGTTTTCGGATGGGTATAGCAGCCCCTGCTTGGGGCCATAGTGCTGAAACTGCTGTTACACTGGATGAAGAAGAATAGCAGATACTATAAGAGCAGTAAGGGAGCGTTTCTCTCCTAAAACTTGGAGTGAAATTACAGTTCTGTGCTCCTGTATCTCCTCAGTGCTACCTGGTCCCACGCTTCACCGACTGTGTAGTCAATTTGTCTTCTGCCTTGTTGAGATACCTGGGATTATATTCTGTCATTGCAGCGGCACCTTTCAGTGGAACACTGGCACTTGGTCTGTTTTCCAAGGCTGCTAAATAAAAGCTCTCTAGGTAGGCCCACAGCAGACAGAAGGAAGTAGTTTTGTCAGGTGGCATGTAGTGAAGCTGTGGATCTCCTGCCACGGGATGTTGGGGATGGTAAGTATTTTAAGGGATGCAAAGAAAGGTTAGATGTACTCTTTGAAGAGAAACCCATGATAGAATATGAAATGCATAGAAATGTACAGAAATTACAGTTGACCCAGGGAGTCCTTGAACTACAAGTGCTTGGAGCCTGGAAGAGTAGTTGGAGTAAAGGATTACTTGTGTTTTTCTTCCCTAGGCATCTTGCTCTGGCCTTTGGTTTAGTATAGCATGGACACTGGCTTCCTGGTGAAAGCCTCCGGCTTCAGCCTTGGGCGCAACGGCGCTGTTGGCTCTGGCTGGTGCTGCAGGCCCTCTGCTAAAGGTGGAGTGGCTGTTTGTTTGCTCAGGGATTGGCAACGCAGCCCCAAGACGCCAGCGGCTGTGGTGGGGTTGGAGGCAGGAATCTGGAGGCCTTTCAGCTGGTCAGCTGTAACGCAGTCGTGTTGGTGGGATTATGGTCAAGAGCTGTTGACCTGTGTCTTCTGCCCAGAAGACCCTGCTGAATGCCTTATTTCACAGCTTCCTACCACCGCGAGCTCTGCCTTACTTGTGAGGATATCAGAGAGAGGAGGCCAGGGTCCAAAGAGGCTTCTGCCTTATCTTACTGACTGAATCCTGGGAATCGTCGGTCTATTTTACCTGGTCTAGTCTTACCTTGTCTCTTGTCTTGTGTAGCTGTGCCAGCTGCATGGCTTGGCCTCTGCTGTCCAGTACCAGCTGGCACCATTCGGACACTTGCTTCCAGGGAACCTGGTCTCTCCGCAGCAGCGTCTTCCTGCCCCGATGTCGAGGATGCTGAATGAAGGGTCTCTTACTGCAGTTCACTTGTCCTGTAACAACATGAGCTTAAAGCCAGTTTGATGCCTGGGTTTTTCTATTAGATTGGCTCTGTCCCAAATTCAGTAACATTCCCATTCCTTTTATCTTTCCAGCTGGCACTCAGTACGCTCGAGCCGATTTTTAAGTGTTTTGTTTTGAGCCTGAGTATAACAGATCTGTAACAAACGTGGCTTCTTCATCTCCCCCTCTGTTGTGCAGCTGATCTTGTTTTGTCCCTCTTTTGTCCTCTTGCTTATCACTGTGTCAGTTCTTAAGCTTCTTTTTAGAGTTGTATGTTCAGCACTAGTGTCTCCATTTGTGGAGCAGATGGCCTCTTTCATCTTGATGAGGGCATGGGGCTATCTGATTCCAGATGGTTTCTTTTTAAAGAAAAAGGGCCAACCCAAGCCCTATTAATCCTTTAAAGGAAAGAGTAATCCAGTTATCTCATAAAACGTGCCTCAGGTAACTGCAGAAAGCCTGTCTCACAAAAGGGTCAAAATCAACCTGGGCACTAATTTTTACATGACTTTTATTCCTCTTGGCCAGGTGGCAAATTGTAATGGCAGTTCTTCTACAGGGCGTGCCTGGGTACCTGTGGCAAGGTCTGTGTTGCAGAACGGTGGTTATTTTGCTGTTGATCAAGGGAAAGGCCAGTGTACCCACTGAGTTGTAGCAGGGCAGCATCTGGCACCACAAGCTGGTCATACCATATACGTGAGATGAAGTTAACCCTGGCACCGTCATGAGCTGGTCTGGTTCCTGAACTGAGATAAGCTTGAGCAATCTCATCTGTGCTGGTGCTAAGATCACCTTGTTATTTTAAGTCAAGTACACTTCCTTGTATGTCACTGAAAGGACAGTGCTAAAGCATCTAACATCTATTTTTTCAGTTATACAGTTGTATTTTTCTCATCTGCTCCTTCTGCTTGGCAGTGCAGCTTTAGAAGGTGTGGCCAGTTCCTTGTTGATGCCTATAGGATCTTGGATGTGGAAACAATGCATATTTTTCAGTTTCAGAAAACGTAAGATTTGGACTAGGAAAAGTGTCGGTTCATTAGAACAGCTACTGCCTCACCCCACTTATTGTAATATCCTTAATTCTCTTAAC